TTTTGTGTAAACATGCAGCTCTAAGTCATTTATTTTCACTTGTACAAAACCAACATTTGTTAATCAGAATGTATAACTACACTGCAGCTCGGCACAACCCTGCTGATACACTATTTTTTGCACATTGTGTGACTTAAAATGTGAATAAACATTTATAATCAAAATTAATAATTAAATGACATCATGGTGGGCATTGTACATCTAGTAAGAAAAAAGAATATTATATGGGGAAAGTTTAGTTTAAATGTGTTGTAGAACTATTACTGTTACTTTGTTGACATAAGATCAAATATTTTGGTATGAAAAGCTGCATTTTTTATTTAACTAAGTATCCTGTATCATAACTACATGTCTGACGATTGTAACAAACCAAACCGCATGAAAATCGGTTGAGAATTCAGCGAGTGATGATTTTAATCATAAATAGTCTCCTGCCTCAATAGACATACATGCATTAGGCAACTTAAAATCTGTATTTGAACACAGTTTATGTGGTGCTGGATTGTGATATGATGCTTGATCTGATGCTTGGAGTGACTGCTGGACTTTGGTCTGAATATGCCTTGAATACTTGTTTTTCCTTTTATTTTCTATTTTCTTTCTTTTTTTAAAAAAAAAATCCTTTCTGTGTCATGACCCCCTGGCTTATTTTGTTGAATGCATTCTGAATTTGCACGATGGCTACTATGTGCATTTGTAAATGATGTGTAACATGTTTAATAAAAAATAAATAAAAATACATGCAGCGCGGCTCCACCTGGGCAAGATGGCGGCCGCGTTGACGTAGCCGTTTGAATGCGGCATCTACGTATATGCGTCATGGCCAGTGAGCTGTCGTAAAGTGACGCAGCTGTCGTGATACGCTTGTGCTGCTTTGAACTTAAAACAAGTTAAATGTCGAAGTCCTGTTTACTTAACGTCAAGACAGTTGAGTATCACTGTTTTTTTTTTTTTTTTTTAACAAAACTGGCGACGTAATCATCAGCGAAGATTGTTCCAGTTCAAGGTATGAAGTTATCTTTCAGCTAGTTGGTTGGCAACGTTACACTGACAGTAACCTAACGCAGCGGTACTTCATCAGTGGAGCTGACTGATAAGGTAGACACGTTACACGTATCCTGTTGACTTTCTGGATTCGCTAAACGTATGTTACCTGTCGTACTGTAACCATCAGTGGAAAGGCGGTTTTCCACGTCAGTAACTATAGATAAGCTCCGTTAGTGCCTTATTTTTGGATATCTACAAAGTCTCAAGACATATGGCAACTTAAAGCTAAAACCAACAGTGTGTTTAATCTTTTTCTTGCTCTCACTATACTGAAAAAGAGGTACATTCACTTAAAGAAATGTCTGAAAGATGTGGGGATCGTTGAGTCCTGAATTACAAATGATAAGTGCCTTAATGAAACTGTCCTCAACATCTAGCTTTAGGTTTAACAGATGTGTAACTTAGACCCTGTTACAACTGACCACAGTCCCACTAGCACTACCACAGTCTCTGTGGACAAAAGCCGTAATAACTTTAATAACTTAAGTGACTGACTTCTGTTTACAGCTTGGCAGGGGTGTATGTGGAGTCTGATGATGGGTTTCTGGCAGCCGGTGACCAACCTTAGAGATTATATATCCCACAATCCTCCAGGGGCTACATTTTTCCTGTGTCTGTTGACCTTGGCTATCTCCTTCATCTGCCTCAGCTCCTATAGCTTCACTCACACTCTGCCTAACCCTGACATAGAAAAGGTAAAGACTCACCTTTTTTCAATTCATGTTGGAGAATGGAAGTTGTCTGATGGCCTACCATGCAGTTTTAATAATCCAATTTCCTGTGTGCAAATAAAACATAATGTGCAGGCTGTGACTGTATGCATGAACTCACACTGATGTGTAAATCACACACTGTATTCTTCTTTTAGGACTGGAACCATCTGCTGTCATCCTTATCTCAGTTTCAACTGTGTGTGAAAGCTAATACAAATACATCTGAGCTTGTAATGCCAGTCCCCTCTCCTGTGATGGATAGAAACGCTTTAGTTAACCCCTCAAAGACACCTTCTCTCACCACTTTGCGTCTCAAGGTTCCCCTGACTGTGACTGCAGACTCAAACAGTGGCTCTCTGAGTGATCTTAGTTTGCACACTGCCTTGAACGCAAGTCAGTTAAATCTTGGAGGTTGGTATTGCAGCGCATTGGTTTTGTTTTGAAAAGTTTGTGTGTATGTGTTTAACAGTTAATTCTAATGTATGATCTGTTGCTTTATTCCCCAGGCAATGAGGTTGTTAAAGTAACTCTAGAGTTTTTGTCTGGAAATGATACCTACACTTGCCTCACCATAAGTGCCCCAACACACCACCTGCCTATGAGTCTGTAAGTACCTTCTCCCTCTGAAGTGTGCGTTTCTAAGCTTCCTGAATTTAAAGGTCCTGTGTATAGGATTTAGGGGAATATATTGGCAAAAATGGAATATATTATAACAACTATGTTTTCTTTAGCGTTAAATCAGCTGAAAATAAAAATTGTTGTGTTTTTGTTAACTTAAAGCGAGTCATTTATGTATACATAAGGAGCGGATCATTGTCCACCATGTTGCACGGCCATGTTGCATGTCTGGCTCCAAGACAGAGCCATTTGCGTTTTCCATGACAAGCATCGTCAGAAAAGCACATATTTTTATTGATGTGAAACTGCTTTATTCAGTGTTTTTACTGCTTTAAATCCTCAGGTCCATTTGTTTTGTACGGGAAGAGACCTTTGCTCATAATTCAGCACCTGGTAAAAACCTCCTGAACAATGAGCACTAAAGAAATTCTGACTGAGATAAGTTTCAGCTGATTGGAATTTGCCGTCCTCACTGCTAGATGCCACTAAATCCCCCCAAATCTTACAAACTGCTTCTTTAAATCACCAGTAATAGATGGCTCCAGGTAGGACATTTTTCTTGGCTGACATGAGAGTTGGCATTGCCCTGGTTCTCATGTCAAAAAGCCCATGGGATTTTTTACTCCGGCAGAAAATAAGCACTGGTAAACAAAAGTTTATGATACTTACATATTTTGTTTGGCAAGATAATCTTTACAAGTGAACAGCACTTTTGTGATTTTTGAAGCGTAAATGCAATCACCAGACGTAAAAAACTAAGGTTAGGCTATAAACAAACTACACCATTGTCACTTGTCATAATGTCACCACTACTACAAGGCTGTTCAGTGTGATGATGTTCTGCAGTCTTGTTCAGCCACTTGTTAGCAGCAGCCTTTTTTTATTACACATAAAAGCTTCAGAATTCATAAGTGGGGTTTTTAGTGATGTATTTTATTTCGTAGAACAAAACTTGAAAGTCTCTTAAGCTCATGTTAACCACAGACATTATTTCAGACATCCCACCAAATACCAATTCAGAAAATCTATTGACTTTGAGACGAGGGAACTGGGAGTGCTAAAATGTTGACTCATTTCCTGGTTTCAGGACTCATTTCTGGGGCACTCTATTCAGGTATATAAAGAGAATGTCTGTAAAGGATGATATGTGTTATGATGTTTAGTCTTGTCCTGTGTATTCTGTAATGTTATGTGTTGATGTAAGTTCTTACGGTGGCATTGTCACTATTTTAAATCTGTTTTGTGGAACCCAGGAAGAATAGCTGCAGCAATGCTATAACTAATGAGGATCATACTAATTAAAACTTAACTCACGAATGGGTATTTTTTGTGTTTTCTTGCATACACTGTGTACTTTAATGAAGACTTCCACCAGAGTGCCCAGCATCTGAGACAAACATTTCACCCATCCATGTAGAAGCGAGCAACAAGCCGTCGACAGCATCACAAACCTGCTACAGTCTACAATCCAAGAATGATCCAACACTCACAGTCATGTTAACACAGGTACAGTGTGTCACACATGAACAGCATAACTTGTTCAGCCCTACCACAGACACTGTTCTCATCCTGGCGGTCATTTTCTGTTTTAATTCTGTAGGAGGAGCAGAGCATTGCTGTGCGACATCAGCTGGAAGTCAGTGTGTGTCTGCTCGGAGTTTGTTTGATACTCTGTGTAGCTGTGAGTCTGACGCATTCAGTCACACGCCGCTCCCACTGGAATGGTCTGGATCTACAAAATGTAACAGTCTTTTCTCATATTACCATATTACTCTGTTTTTGTATCCCTGACTATGATAACAATTAGTAATTTTGATTGAACAGCTACATATCCTACTCTCTGCAGATACTCTTTTCATCTGACCCTATTGTTTTTACTTTATTTGCAGGAGTCCTTGATTGGCACCTGAACATTTTTCATCCTCTGCATCCTAAAGAAATCAGTTGATGGTGGTGGTCAAGAGAGAGGAGCGATATGTGTCACTATCTTTTAAAGGGACATCTCGCAGATTTTACAAGAAAAACCAGTTTGCACATCATGCCGAGTACGACTTGGCCTGTGAAAACAGTTGTTTGATGTCCTCTGTGGCTCTGAAGGGAGCTTGTTAAAGCCTGAAGGTTATCTCCACTTGTGTTTGGAGAATAGATATTTATGTTGCATCCAGCAAAGTGAATATATTTAAGCTAACATTTTGAATCCGTCTCTTACAAGTTTCCCAACTTTGTGAAAGTGCAATTCTTTATCAGAGCATTCCTGTTATAGGAGATTGAAATATTTTACAGTATCCAAGTGAGAAACATGGTTGTGATAAAGAAGGAGTATATTTTGTCATGGGACCACGGTGTAATGGGAACAACTCTTCAATGACTGGTTATACATTTACTATTCAGTACGGTTTGTGCAGTACATGTCATGTTAATTTCAGTTCCCACATTTCCCACATTTATTGGTTGTATTCAGCCGTGTGAGAGCTGAACATGTTAACTGTTTCTTCCATTCAAAACGGTGATTTTTTTTTTTTTTTTTTTTTTTACTGTGAAGGTAGTGGTATTATATACTGTTTCCATGTCAGCAGGTGTGTTTGCTTTTTATCTTTTACTGAATTTAAGTTATATGAGCATACTGGGCTACTTTTAATTTACATGTCTGACATTGAAAGTTAATTGAATCCAGATGCCAAATCAACAGACCCACCTGTACTCTTGCATCCTCCTACAATGTGTTACATCACTTGCATAGCAGCAGAAACTTTTAAAAGTGTGTTTAAGAAACACCCAAATGCCTCTTGCTTGAATTTCAAAGCAACCAAAAGTGTTTATGTGAGGAGAAGAAGAAGAGGGATGTAACATCTGCTGCTATGATACAAGCCATTTGTAATGTCGGTTTAATGACAAAGAGTATTAGGACACTAAGCACAGTAAAGTGAGTCTATGTCCAATAGATTCTCTGAGTCTAGGAGCTCATGATTGCATCCTGCTTTCCAAACACTATTTTCCTAGTTTTAGCTAGATGGAAAATTTTTATAGTGACTGGGAAGTTATGGAACTCTACACCGAGTGTCTTTTGTGTAAGTAACGAACACTGGTTAAATTTGTGGTTCTGCCAAATGAAGGAAAGCTTGTGATGTAAGCCTTTAGGCTTGGCTTGATGCACTCACACAAAATAATGGTATTAACTAACTTTTGCAGTTACTCGTCTAAATGACAATGAACTTAAAAAAAAAAAAAAACTAACAACCTTGGCTACACTACTAAATTTCCTCTCTGGGGATCAACAAAGCTTTATCTTTATCATATTCGTACGTTTTTCTTGGAGCCCAAGACCAGCAAAGGAAGAGGGGCATCAAATTTAGAGCTATGACTTTTGAGTTTTAGTTTTAATGTTTCTCTAAAGAGACCAGAAAATGTTAGGTATACCATGCCTTACATTACTGTTAAGCATTTTTTATATTGTTGATTATTTACCCACAGAGACTTTTAAAATGTCTTTAAATCTCTTACTGTAAACATTATGCCTGTTTCATCAATGTCAAAATTACCTCATTGTGTAGAAATAAGGAAAAGGGAGAGGACACACTGCCAAAAATGTCTGTAATGTCAATTATTATCAGGTGACAAATACACAATAAAACATTTTCTCCTGTAAATCAAAGTTGTCAGTGATAAATATGATCATACCTGTCATCTGCTGCTGAGAAATCACCTCAGTGAGAGTCACCACTGATGTACTGGTATGCTACCTCGTCTACGTAGCAAAGCTTCTCCTCCAATAATCGTTGAGAATCTTTACAAGACGCCTTCCTATTGGTTGAGTATAGAAAAATAGAGGCGGGATTTCTGCAGACTACAGGCAACCCAAGTAACCAACGTCGTCGAAGTGGTTGGATTGTTCGCGGCCTGGCGGATTGTTTTAAGTCAGGGAAAAGGAAACGTGACGTTACAAAGTATGTATTCCTCTTTGGAGAGATTACTGCACTCGCACGAAGCCGTTATGAAGTTGCGAGCGGTCTGCAAAGTCCGTGAAAATTACTTGATATGGCTAACGTCTGCTAACATGTTTCCACAGTGTGAAGCTAGCTAGCTAGCTAGCTAGCGTTATCTCATAAACTCTGTGTAGAACACGCAAATGTCCGTTAGCTATGTATGCTAGCCTGACATTAAACGTTAGTGGCAGTTGGTGCATAACGTCTAAAACGTTTATATCATATGCTTTTCACTTAACCCGATTTGGTCTTTCTAACGTCACACCGCAGCCTAGCTAGACCAATAACTGACTTCTGCATGAACAGGAATGTCTTCATAGCTAATGCTGTGCCCAAAGGCGGTCTTTGCCACAATATTTTGTTGTTCAAGCAAGCGGGCCTCCCACGTGGTCCCCCTCACAGGGGGGCAGGCTTTCATCAAGGTGTGGGTGTTAACTTTACCCCTTATGACTTGTTGTAAAGCGTCCATATCAACTACTTTCAGGTCATGCCCATGGTGTGAATTAATGGAGTAAGGAATATTCTAGGTGAATACCCAAGACCTGTGGTATTTTAATTCCCTCTTCAGGATGATATCTCTGGACTAACTTAGTGCTCGGTTGGAGAGGGAGAAGACAAACAGGAAATCAGGAAGGAAACAGGAATAATTGTGCGTGGCCATGGCCTACTCCAACTACAGCAACCTGAGCAGGGCTCAGCTCACCTTTGAGTACCTGCACACAAATTCGTAAGTACCTTCCTGCTGGAAATTAATATATGCTTATGATCTTGGTACTACACATAAGTATGATAGTGAATAATATAGATCACCATCTAGATAGATATGCATAATATTATATCAGGTTATCCATGTGAATATTATTTTGCAAGTTCAACACATGGCGGAGAGGGTTACAACAGATCAACGCCCAACATTGTTTGGACAGATACACCTCTACGCTTGATTTGTCTCTTACACCAACACTGTGCCAACCTAAAAATGTTAATTGTGTAGATGATCAAGTTAAATCCTGTTAAACCTGATCATCTATTAAAGGAAGAGGAGAAGAATGTGCTCTCATTCCATTACATGTTTGTTTGCACTTAATATGAATTAGGCTTCCATCAAAAATAGTTTCTAAATTCTGCATTGATCTTTTAATGTCATGTCATGTTATGTCATGCTATATATGATGAATGTGAGCCAACATTTACTAAATTTAACACTGTCAGTGTGTTTTATGTACAGAATAAAAAAACACATAGTTCTGACTTGCAACATAAATTGCTCCTGCAGATTAAACCCTTAAATGTATGGGTTTCTTTTGAAATATTCCTAATCATATTTTTTGTAAGCACATTATTAAAAAATAACAAACACAAAATATATTTACATTTGTCATTTATGCGATTTTTACATGCATTACGTTTATAGATACTTTTAGGATGGTATCTTGACTGTTGTCTCTTTCAGGGCTCATGTCATCTGAGCTAGCGTCATCATTCTTGTGCTCCAGTTTTGCTTTATGATCTGATTTATAAGTGGCACAAAAGCAAATTACTCATAATCAGTAGCCTCACATACATCTTAATTTCCAGCTACTGTCTGGAAGCCTCCGATATCAGCTCATATCTGAGTGTATAAAACTTTGCGTTATTGCTTTTCAGTCAAAGGTATATTTGTAAGTGATAGACTTACAACACTACATTCACTGAATAGAAGTCATAGTTGCTCTGACAAAAACATAGTTACCCATGGAGTGACGTGGTTCACTATATTCCCTGTCATGGATTTAAGAGGCAGTTGCATTTTTGTCTGTGCGCTGCAGAGGTAAAGAGGGAAATAGTGTTCCTTGCTACAACAAGTAGACCTCAACTACTTCTTGCAATGAAGCCTGACTGAAAAACTCGGTCCATGTTTTATATGTTGTGGCGCACCAGTCAACACATTTAGAAACACAGATAATATCACAACCTTGGCTCATTTTCAAATCTCTGCCAAGGGATTATGCACAGATCCAGGAAGGGTTTAACCACAAGAGTAGGACTAAAACAATTAGTGCTTGTTAGTAGAACTAAAAATAGCTGGTGAGCTTGTGGTGGGCATTTGTCATTACATGTGGCACTCCATGTGGTAAATGATAGAATACTTGATATAGGTGTTATTTAATTGAAATGAGACAGTGCCAGTCTTCATTGTTGTTTTGTCACAGAATGTCATCAGAAAGTGGTACTTAGTACAACCTAAGAGGCTCTGTACTATATGAATAAGGGCTTAAACAGATGTTAGGATCATGCATTTTTGAGAAGATGTGAATGGTGAACCTGTTAATACATTAATTGACAATCCTCTATTCTGTTTGCACTGTCACATACAATATCTGTCAATAGACTTGAGGAAATACAGGTTGTACAACTGAATAACAATCCAGTGTAGAATATGTAGAGATCAGATCTTTGCAGCAAGTATCTCCTATGTATCCTCTTTGTCTGACCAGCTTGCCCTGTTAAGTTAAGTTAAGTTAAGTCCCTCTTAACATTTAAAGTATATTGAATTAATGAAATGAGTGTTCTATTTTCAGGACAACCCACGAGTTTTTATTTGGAGCCTTGGCAGAGCTTGTGGACAATTCAAGGTACTTATAATGACTTGCAACAGAGCATAAAATTGTTGACAGATTATGCAGGCTGGAAAACTTCTTTTAGTCTGATGTATTTCACAGTATTTCAAAGTCTCACAGTTGGTTTATTTCTTTCACAGAGATGCCAATGCCACACGAATAGATATCTACTCAGGTACACCTCAGAGTAACTCAACTAGTTTCAGACTCTGAAGCATGCACATTCAGTCTCAGTCATTGCTCCTAACATGTCTTGTTAACTATCCTGTTTTGATGACAGAAAAAAGGCCAGAGCTGCGGGGCGGCTACATGCTCTGTTTTCTGGATGACGGTATTGGAATGGACCCTCGTAAGTGCACCTTATTAAATCACTTAAAGGTCCTGTGTTTCGGCTTTAGAAGGATCTGTTGGTAGAAATGTAATATAATAATACGTCTAGTTTCATTAGTGTATAATCCCCTTGAGACTAACAATCATTATGGTGTTGTGAGCTTACAATGAGTCCTTCATATCTATATAAGGAGTGGATCCTTGATAATGGAGTCCGCCATTTTGCGCAGCTATGTTTCTACAGTAGCCCAGAACAGACAAACCAAACACTGGCTCTAGAGAGAGCCTTTTGTAGTTTTCATTACCTAGGTTCGTAGTTTTTATTTCACGATTAAAGGTGCTTTGTGTTTGTCCATTGTGAGGTTTTTGGGATTACATATGTATGTTGTGTGTGAAACATAAATCTGAGCACCTTTCTTTTACTAGATGAGGCAACTCATGTCATTCAGTTTGGAAAGTCAAGCAAACGGTCCCCTGAGTCCACACAGATCGGCCAGTATGGAAATGGACTGAAATCGTAAGACCTTCATTAATTCTTGTGTGACTATAACATTGTGTATTTAGGACGCTTGTGTTTGAATCATTTCACATGTCATTAAAAGTGTGTTTTTGTTCACAGCGGCTCTATGCGTATTGGGAAAGACTTCATCTTGTTCACAAAAAAGGGCAACACGCTGACCTGCCTTTTCCTGTCAAGGACTTTCCACGAAGAGGAGGGACTGGATGAGGTCAGAGTCAACTGTTGGATTGAGCTGTTGAATAGAGGATGTCATTGTTATTAGGGTTGTGTACAAATAACTTGATAGTGAAATTAATTGTGTCTAACTGAAGGATTTTCTGATTAGTAGGGGCTTGACACACACCAAAGAAACTCAAAATTAATTCAAAAATAAAAATGTATTTAACCAGTTTCTGCAAGAGGAAGAGTGAGCAGTGGAGTTTCATATCTGCTTCATCAGGGTCTTTTTTCTTTTTACAGATAGTTGACAGCTTTGTGTAACTTGTGAATTCAGATGAGCATCATCAGTCAACAACAACAGATTAGGTTTACATTTATTTGTCCTAGAGGGATGTTTGTTTTCACAGTCAGTGCAAGCCCATTGCAACATGCAGATACACAGGTTGACCTGTATACACATAGGTAAATACAGATAGCAACATGTACACATGACAGTGTATGGAAAAAGACAGTACAAAAAACCTTCATGTATACTATGTTTCTAAGATCCCAGTTCACAACAGTATCAGCAAGACAGATAGTTTAGAGTTGCTGTAGCCAAAGGAACAAAACTCCAGCCATAGCGACCTCCTTTCCCATTTAAGAGTCCTATATATCCAATCAGATGGGAGTAATGTGTTGGTTTTGGGGCTAATCTGTGTCACTTGATATTGTGAGTGCTACATGTGTGGTGGCTCTGAGGTTCATGTCTGATTGACTGGGTTTGGGAAAGCAAATGATTTTGGAGGCTGTGTATGTGATGCTCCTAAGTTTGGAGGTGGTTAACATGGTAAAGACACAGGCAGAACAGTCACAGCAGGATGAGTTGGATTATGCAACATTTCACATATTTGCATTGTTAACACGAAGTCACAAAATCAGCAAACTTGGTGTGCAATGACACAGATGGCCAATTCAGTAAAAAGTGATATCTCTGTATACTGTGGGTCAGATGCTGCTGTTTCTATTTTCAAAAGACTTTATCCAGATTGTCATTTTTTTTCTAAACAAAATCA